TAATCATGTGCCAGTGGCTCATGCCTGTAATCCTAGCTGCTCAGTAGGATGAGAGCTGAGGGACGGTGTTTGAACTTAGCCTGGGCAGGTAAGTCCATGAGACTCTTATCTCCAATTAACCACCAAGAAGCCGGAACAGCTCTAGCCTTTAGCAACAAAAGCTCAGTGACAGCATTCTGATCCTGAGTTCAATCCCCAGAAATGGCACACACCACACACACACACACACACACACACACACACACACACACACACACACATTTAATGGCAGCAGTGTCCCATATTTTGAAGCATTATAGATATCCTGGAATAATATAATCAGCTCAAGGATAGCACTCTATCACTTGAGCCACAGTTCCACTTTGGGCTTTTTTGGTAGTTTAGTGGAGCTGAGAGTCTCACAGACTTTCTTGCCCAGGCTGGCTTCAAACTGTGTTCCTCAGATCTCAAGTCTTCTGAGTAACTAGGATTCTAGGCATGAGTCATGGGCACCTGGCTTTAGAACAATAATTTTATTTAGTGATTTTCCTTCAAAATTTGGAAACAAGATTATGATCTGGTTTTCTTTAATTATATACAGCTTTAATCATCTTTATATCAATTTTCAATTCACTTCATAGAAATAATTAGGCAGTGTTTCTCTAAATTCTATCTGCACGTCCTAAGTCACATTGAAATGATCTACTCATTCACAGTTCGTTGGAGTTGCCATGTGAAATCATTTAGGCCTGCTGCTGTTTTTGCTGGGTGATAGAATTTTTGTTGGCTGAAGGGTACTTGGAATGACATACTCATCCATAGTTCTATCCCAGTCTTCATCATTCTAGATGACTGTGGGCTTCAGGGAATAGGAAACAGAAACTAAGCTTCAGGTGTACAAAATACTTCCCCCAGGCAGCTGGGAGCCAGGCAGTAGTTGATAGTATACAGGAATAACAGTAACAAAGCCTATTTACTTGACCATACTTTTGCCAGGCTCTGAATCTTTTAGACCCATCTGTTTCTTTATAGAATCCATTCCTGAAAAAGTACCCTGCTGAGTCTTCTGAGCAGGAACTCTCTATCCTCTATCTGATCTGATCTGATCACACTCCTTGTCTCATAGGTTCCTCACCTTTCACTTTTTATTTTTTCCAGGAGGTATTTGATCATCCTGCCCTGTCCTTAGCAAGAAGCTTGTTAAGTCTGTTTAGCCAAAATTCCTCTTACCCCTGATATTTCCCTCTCCATAGTGTTTCATGCTCTGACTACCCCATCCCCAACCATACATTTCCACTTGCCCCCATGCTGTGTTTGGAAATAAGCTCAATTCTCCCCTCTCCCCTCCCCCCCCATCTCCCCTGCACAATCCCATTGCCTTGGTACTTATAGCATTCAAGATGGTCTTGAATAAAGTCTGCTTTACTGGGTCTGAACAAGTGTCATTGGAGAGTTTTTTCTAACTCTACAATATCATAATCCCATGTGGGATGGGGAAGGAGGAGGGAAGCCATGTCAGAGAGGCTGAGGAAGGGCAAGATGAGCAGGAGACAGAATCAGCCTCTTCCCAGAGATTTTCCCTTCTGGTTCTGCATTCCAACTTCTCCTGGAAGTCTCTGTCCTGTTTTTACAGCTGAGAAGGGAAAAAAAAGCCTCGCAGAGTCCACTGAATATCTTGGCAGCCTTTGGGAGAAGAAAGGATCCTCTGAGTCGCTTTACCCAAGAGAATGTGGACCCCAAAAAGCCAATGATTACACCCCTTGATTTCCCCTCATTTGTCTTCACCCTGAGCCAGTGTCAGCCCTGCCTCTGGGGCTCACACTGATCAACTAGTCCCACATCATAGACGTTGCTTTCAGGTTGAGCCTTTGATTTTCTGAGGTTGCTCTCTGTGCAACTGGCTTTGGAACAAACAACCGCCACATGGCTCAGTCATCTCCACCGTGAGAAAGCTTTGCAGTGGTTGTGAAGTAGGGTACGAGGACAGGACCTAAGGCCCAGAGTGACCTTATGGTCTTCTCGGCTCCAGTTTCCTGTCAAATTCTCCCTTAGCTCTTCCTAGTCGGCACCAACAGGGCCTTCTTTAGGCCTTCTGCCAGAATACAAAATGCCACTAGGGGGCGCTGGCCCATGGGTGCTAGATGAGAACGTCATTGCCCTCCACAGCCGATATTATTAGATTAGTAAGAAGCTCTGATCAAAGGCAAGGACAGGTTGGGAAAGACAATCGTGAGAGCCCTGGAGCTCTCACCACCACTTCGGAGCCCCAGTATGATTGTGAAGAGGTTGAAGCCTGAACCCCTTGCTGAGCAATTGCTTCCAGAGAGAGCCCCAGGTTGTTTCCTGTGGGCAAGTCACAGGCTCCTGCAGATGGGGGTTCAAGAGGAACTCAGCAGGCCAAGAAGGTTAGGTTGTGAATGTATGTCTGGGGAGGGCTTAACATCTAAGCCCCCAGTTTTCAGGCAAATATGAGATCCTTTCTCCAACACCTGCACTCACCCAACTGTGTCAAAGGCTGACCATACCTGTCCAGCCCACAACCTCAGAAGATAGGGGAAAAAAGTAGCATGATGACTCATTTCAGAACTTTCCACTGGCAAGAAGTCAGCACCTGACTGGGCTCAGAGAGTCTCACTGTGCCCTAGGAGAAGCTGAGGGGCCCCAAAACACCAGGTGTTGCTGTGAACCTTCACACCAGGCCTGCTTCCCAGTGAGGTGCTCCTGGGGGCCAGGAGGTGCTAAGTGGGTGCAGGCCAGCCAGCTTCCCACGCTGAGTCCCATACAAGGCGCAGAGGGATTTGTACAAGGTTGGGATGAGGGATTCTTCTGTCATCTACTTTGAACCCAGGTAAGTAGTCTCAGGGTCTGGTTGGCCCCGGGAGCCACTTTCTTGCCTACACTTATTTTCACATCAGATCCATCTGAAGAATGAAAATGTCTTTTAGAATCCCAGCTTTGGAGTCTGGAGATAAGGATTTTATTCTTGGTAAAATATGCTAGATAGAGAGGATTGCCTCCTCTGATTTTCCAGGCACTGTGCTAAGCACCTTACTCAACATTAGTTCATTCTCACAACCACCCTAGGAAGGATGTACTGTTGTCCTATATGCAGATGAGGAATTAGAGGCTTGAGGTGGCTGGATGATTTTGGTCCCAGATGGGACTCCATGGTCTAGTGCTACTCATGAATGTCTCTGAAGAGCACCACAGATCAAAAGGTACTTGACCATGATCCTCTTTAGAAATAAACAGAAAACTTCTTACTTCTTTAGTATTTTATTTTGCAGCCCAAATCATTTCTCATCATTTCTTCTTATGTAAGACAGGTCCTGCCTCTTCAGCTCCCTCCCACCTCACTTTACAAGCATACAAACACAGGCTGAACTTTTCTTTTTTTATGTCAGCAATAGGGCTTGAACTCAGGGCTCTTTTGCTCACGGCTAATGCTCTACCACTTTGAGCCACAGCGTCACTTCTGGTTTTCTGGTGGTTAATTGGAGATAAGAGTCTCACAGACTTTCTTGCCTGGGCTGGCTTTGAACTGTGATCCTCAGATCTCAGCCTCCTGAGTAGCTAGGATTATAGGTGTGAGCCACTGGTGCCCAGCTAGGCTGAACATTTTTATTGCCCCCTTTCTGTGCTATATACTCACCAGCTGTCCAGGGGTCTCCCACTCCTGGGTCCTCTCTGCCTCAGGAACTAATTTTGGCAACACCTTTTATGTCCCACTCTTGCTCCTTTGGCCCAGGGACTGTGGCTGTTGGATGTCCCTTGAGAGACAGGTTGAATTTAAGAGGGCAGAGAGAAGATGGAAAGGCATTGCTGTCAAAGGGTCTGGCAGAGGGGAAAGGAGAGCATATGGATTATGGTATAGAATTGAAAATGGATGCAGGGGCCAGGGGGTTGGGGGGTGGACAACTGGTCTGAGGTAGAGTAGCCTGAACAAGAGGAGAGGAGGACAATGGGGAATGCTCAGAGTGTTTGGTCATTATGGCACCAGGATTTGAATGGATGGAAACGCAGATACTCGGGATTTTCACATAGAGCATGCCCAGGGCTGCTGCGGTGAGAGGTGGAGAGGCAGGGAATGCAGTCCCTCCGTCTTCTCTCCTTCGGGGGCTTCACCAGTGAACACACTCAGTAAACTCACTGAAGATGGAGGCAAGATTATGCACTTTGTACCTCAGATGGAGATGAGATTATTCATCTTTGTATTTTCTGAACCTGGTGCTTGCTCAGTGCAGTGCTTTGGAAGAATTCAGGAACTTTTAAATGGCAGGATGGAAAAAGAAACAGAAGCAAAGAGAAAGGGAGAGCGGCTCAATGGATATCCATCCATAAGCCAGTCCCTTTCCAGGGGTAGGTGTGTGGAGCTCACCCGTCTCTACCCTACAGCTCTCGTAGGGTAACTACTATGTACTAGAAAACTCTCTTTTAACCTTTTCTGAACATGCAATGTCAGAGGAACTGAGAAGAATTCAAAAAATCTGCACAATTCAATCTGGATAAAAGAAATAAGATTTGAGAACAGGCTCTCATTCAAGTGACAGTTGCTCTGTTTATCCAGGACCTTGGATCTATCTACCTCAATGGAGTTATGACTCATCCATACACCTGTTTGTAAATACCTCGCCTTACAGGTGTCTGGGATGGTTGTGCATTCTTCAGCAGAATGAAGTCAGGGAAATGCAGTGGACAGACCCTATCAGTAGCAGGCTTCGCAGAGCCCTGCACACATGGCTCTGAACTTTTCACACAAGGGCTGACTTTTTAAAAAGTACAGTAAAACTGAAAGCTTAAAAACAGTAGCTTCACAAATTGTCACCGAAGACTCCAGTACCTGAGACCACGTCTTTTTATTTGTAAATGCATTTCTGTCATAGTCTTTCTTGTGGTTCACTCTATGTAGTCTGTGTACTTGTTACTTTATCGTGTTGACCTTACTTTCTTTTTTTTTGAGAGCTTCATCTTATTGACATTGCTTTTGCTGAACTCAGGTTTTTCAAGACCCACCGCTCTCAGAGGTTCAGTTTCACCCTGGCATCTGTAGTTGGACATTTTGGTCACAAAAGAGGCCACATCTGCTTCCTGGAGGCCTCTTGGCCAGAAGTATGCACGGCTGGCTGCTCCTGCTGTGGGCCCAGGGGCTGAGGCAGGCCGCCCTCCTCGCCTCAGGTAAGGCCTACAAATCCAGGAGAGCAGGGGAGAGGAAAGAAGGCCAAACGTGGTGCAGAGAAGGCCTGGAGTCTATACTACAAGTGTTTAGGGAAGGGAATGTGGATGTGAGTCCTGTGTACCCTCAGATGAGAAGATGAACTTCAGATCGGGGGTCACAGATTTTCATGGTTTGGGGTCCTGACTGGGTAGTGAAAAAAAGAAGTGGGGGGGGCTGGAGCAGAAGAAACTAAGAAAATGAGGGTGTGGGCACAAGATGGAGGAATTCTCAATTGGGTTTTAGAAGCTTATTCTTGCTCTGTCTTCTATTTTTGATAGACTTCCAGAAAAACGTGGCAGGTAGTTTTCTGTGGATGAAAAACGTCTCCTTCCTAGCTTCCAGAGTCACAGGCTGCATGTTGTTAAGTTTATTTCTTTTATATTAAAAGACTTAAACAAATATTTCAGAGAAATAGAGGACACAGCACTTAAAGGTAATATAGCTGGGCGCCAGTGGCTCACCCTGTAATTTTAGCAACTTAGGAAGCTGAGATCTGAGGCTCACAATTTGAAGCCAGGCCCAGCATACAAACCTGAAACTTTTATCTCAAATTAACCACCAAAATAAAAAAAAAATGAGCAGGAAGTGAAGCTGTAGCTTAAGGGCCAACCTACTTTAACAACAACAACAAAAAGCTAAGGGACAGCGTGCAGGTCCTGAGTCTAAGCCTCAGTAAAAGCACACACACAAACGAAACACGGAACAAGACGAACAAAAAAACCTTGTGGTAAAAATGAATGAGCATTCTGAGGATGGAGTGCTGGTCAGTGTGCTAGGGAGTGATGTACTGAAGAGGTAGATTTTTCCTAGGAGAACAGTTTCTTGCTCAGTCTCCTTTCCTTTGGCTATCTTGGCTCTCCTAATACTTTTCTGGGTACCCTAAATGGCAATCCACCAGATAGCAGGATTTTATTTGAAGGGCAGGAGTCAGCATGAGATTAGGTTTCTAAAGGACTTGTAGAAACCATGTGTGGGGCTTAAGAGGGCTTATGTCATGTAGTAGGGAGAGAAAACAGCAAGCTAGTCATGAAGCTGTACAGCAGAATGCCCAGAGAGGGCAACACACTAAGTCATGGAGCCATATGACAAGTAGTGAAGGTGTTAATTATATAATGCAGACAGTGCAAGGAGCCTGTGCAAGGAACACAGGTTGCTATGAGCTGGGGTCCTCCAAGAGGTGGAGTTCTTAGACGCTCTACATGCATGGAACAGATGGCAGATCTGGAAGCAGGCATGGTGGGCTGGATTGGAATGGAGGTCTGAGAACAAGAATACTAGAAAGGAGCCAAAGGCTTGGGCTTGGAACCTTGAAGGACAGGCATCCAGAGGACATGTCTCAACAGGAGAAATCAGGAATCTATGGACTTTGGCAGAGCCAAATTGACTGGGAAACATCTACATGAAGGCTGGCTGCTGGCCAGTGATTCACGTGTGCTTCTCCCTCTCCTCTAGGAGTTATGACAGGAGTACTGATAACCAAGGGGAACATTTCTGCAGAGGAAGGTGACTCTGTCATCTTACAATGCCTCCTCTCCTCCACCATGGCTAACGTGACTCAGGTCAATTGGGAGCAACAAGAGAAATTTCTGGCCACTTACCATACTGACTTTGGGTGGCACATTAACCCAAGCTTCAGAGAGCGGTTGACCCCAGGCCCCAGCTTGGGCCTCACCATCTTGTCACTGACCAGGAATGACACAGGGGAGTACTTGTGCATCTACCATACCTACCCTGATGGGATTTATAAGGGAACAATCTTCCTGGAGGTCCTGGAACGCTCAGGTATGCCTTCTGCAGGGTGGCTGATGAACCTCCTTCTGTAGCATAGAAAATGCCATCTTGGAAAACTCTCGGGGGACAAAGGGCTTCTCAGTTCTAGAGCACATTTGACTTATCAAAGATTTTTTATCTGGGAAGGGAAAGAGAATCACAGAAAGAGCAACACAAAGGATGACCTAATGCAGCAATGATACTCACTTAAATGAGAGAGGGGGTAACAGTGTTTTAAAAAAATGTATTGGTGATGTGGCTCTAGAGGTAGAGTGCTAGCCTTTGAGCAAAAGAAGCTCAGAGACAGTGCCCAGGCCTTGACTTCAAGCCCCAGGACTGGCAAAAAAAGAAAAAAGAAGGAAGGAAGGAAGGGAGGAAGGAAAAAAAGAAAGAAAGAAAGGAAGGAAGGAAAGAAGGAAGGAAGGAAGGAAGAAGGAAGGAAGAAATAAAGGTATTCATTACCTTTCATGTAACTGTAATGCCCTGCTTATCACCTTTACAATAAAGACAAAAAAATTAATAAAATTTGTTTAGGTTGTAAGAAATAATACAGATAAAAATGTTCATAAAAGAGAGAGGGGGTAGAGAGAGAGCGAGCGAGAGAGAGAGAGAGAGAGAGAGAGCATCCCTAGTGCTTAGTGCTGGTGGGTCATACCTGTAATCCTGACATCTGAGGATCATGGTTCAAAGTTAGACTGGGAAGGAAAGTTCATGAGTTTCTTCTCTCCAATTACTCATAGAAAGAGCAGACGTGGCACTATAGCTCAAGTTGTAGGGTGCTAGCCTCTAGCAAAAAGAGCCTAGGGACAGTGCCCAGGCTCAGAGTTCAAACCCCAGAACTGGCAAAACAAATTCAGCTTCCTGAACAAACATACATATACTAACATACACAAACACTTATATGCATATATATAATGTATAAACATGTATTATATATAATACATGTATGTATCATTTTATATATTTATATATTATGTCAAAACATATACATAACATATATATATATACGCACATACATTTGTGTGTACATCTATATCTATCTATCCAGCATCTATCGATATTGATATCTATATCTATCTATCCATCTATCTATATCTATATCTATACAGAGAGAGAGAAAGAGAGAGAGAGAGAGAGAGAGAGAGAGAGAGAGAGAGAGAGAGGGAGAAGGTGAGGCGAGGGGGAGAGAGATGAAGTCAGAGACTTTGTGGGCTGAGCTACCATGTGATGTTCCAGAAGCTCCTGTATCCTTGTCATGTATAACCATGACTAAAAACCACAGATTTCTGCATTAGAAGCATATCTTTTTAAAAAAGTTATTCATTTTTATTGTTATTATAAAGGGGATGTACAGAAGGGTTACAGTTACATAAGTCAGATAAAGAGTAGATTTCTTTTGGACAATGTTATCCCTTCCCTCACTCTCTTCCAGGTCTTCCCTCTCATTCCCTGCCACAAGTTGCATAGTTCATTTTCAACATAGTGTCTAGTGTCTAGTGAGTACCACTGCTGAATTTGTTTACCTTTTGTCCCTCCATTTCTTATCCTCCCAAAGACAGATAAATGAGGGACCAAGATAAAAAGAAAACAAAAAAGCAACAAAAAACCCTCTTGTTTCCATTTCCTGGAGTTCATTTGGATAAATATTATTTTATATGATCAGATGCATATACGTATTGCATCTTTGTGTTCTTCTCCTGGGTATCTTCCTTTGAGTTCACTGTGTGAATGTCTAGAATTCCATATAATTTCTCATGTCCCAGGGTATTTCATATCTAGCATCTGCATATGAGAGAAAATGTGTGTCGTTTGTCCCTTTGAGAGGAAGCACGTCTTATCTATGGACAGGACCAGGTAATGTGGTTACATGCAAAGGGTCATCATACTGGTTTAGTAATGGTCATACAAATTAGAATTAATCCTTATGTTTGTAAAGATTAGATTCTTGTTAAAAAAAACCAAAACTAAACCAAAAAAAAAAAACAACAAGGCACAACCAGTGCTATTTTAAGTGTACAATAATTGACATTTGTGAGATGCTTCAGAATTTCCAAGATTTCCTCATAGGTGTATCCACCTGGGCACTTAAATCAATTCTAAAAGTTGGAAAATGATGAGTGTATCTCAGATTGTTATAGCACAGTGAATAAGAGCTCAGACTCTGATGCTGGAGAGCCTGGGTCCAAATCCTGCTCTGTTGTTCACCTCAGAGAAGACTACTTAGCTCCTGGTGGATCTTTCCTCATCTGTGGAGTGCAAAAAGGTATAAGACACTATGATGTGCTGATATAAAGTTGACTCACCCACTGCTAGAAAATGCCCTTAGGACAGCGGCTGAAACACGGGTAAACATGTTGACAATGAATCTGATTCTTGCCAATCACTTGCTCAGGCATCCCTTCATGTTGCTAATATCATTGAGCTTCTACTATGCATCAAGACCTGGGGAAACAGGCTCCAGGGTTTCACAGCCTAGTGGGAAAGAAGTATTATAGGGCACAAGATGAAGGGGAACTCTCTGTGCTTTTTCTTTGTGCAATGCGATCCTAATGTTATTTTGATTTCTAATTAAAAGGGCTTGACATTGATCAAGATGCATTGCATTCATAAACTGCTTTGTTGAATGTCCACTCTTTTGTGCAACTTCTGAAAGATAATAAAAATATATTCAAGAAAAAAGCTGTTATATGTAGATAGGAAGTGTGGAAGAAGAAAATGACTATTGACTAGAGGAAAAGAAAACCACTCTGGGTCAGGTACAGGAGGCATGCCACTACTTGGGGACATCTGTCATTGATTTGATGGCAGGCCAGATAGATGCTCTGTTGTGCCAAGAATTGGGCTCAATGATTTCAGAGTTGGGATTAGAGGAAGGGCCTGGGCCAACCCTGACCTCTGAGCAGTAAAACCCAGGCTGGGCAGGGTGGGGGAGGCAGCTTTGCCACTTAAATATATTTTGTCTTCTCTCTAGTGAGTAAGAACAGTACCTGGGTCCTAATTCCATTGCTGGGAGCCATGGCCACAGTACTGGGGGCCATCTGCAGTGCAGTCATCAGGGCGGTCACATTGTCAAGAAAGGTAATGGCTCTTCCTGCAAATCCAGTCCCAGGCATCCCCATCCATGCCTCCCCACTGCTGTCAGACGTTTCTATGCTAGGAGACACCCTAATGTCACCATGCCCATGCTCCCTGTCCCTTTCACAGGACTTGCTCTACTTTTTCATGCACTCCTTCGTATTCTTCTGTGTTGCTCTTTCAGGCTCAGAGCTCCTGGAAGGTTGGACTTCTATCCTTCCTGTCTTGATGTCTGTTACCTACAGTTACTAGTTTCTGCCTGTTGCATAAGCTGCTGCTTTGAGTGTGTGACTACTGTGAGTCTCAAGTATCTCTGAGTATGTCTAGTATTGTGCGAGGGCTTTGGGGCTAGAGCCTCATTCAATTCCCAACTTGGTAATCCAGTACTCTTGACTGAGTAAGGGTCTACATTTTAGTATTAATCTATTAGCCCTTTCACCTTTTTCTGGATTATGTAAGAATCTTAGAGTATATTAACACATTAAAAAAATCTCCTCCCTCTCCAACTTCCTTCTATTGTTTTCAGGTCTTGTAATGTTCTCTATACTTTTGACAAATAGATAATCATTGTGGTTTTATGAGTCAATATTGACTTCAATCTATTCTTCCTGTAACTCTATCCTGAATGTTCTATTGTGTTTTATTTTTTTTCCACCTAAAGAATATCTGAGAGTAATCATTTAGTTCAGGTTTATTGGTAATGAAGTATTTTGGTTTCTGTTTGTCCAAAATTATTTTTACCCATTGAATTAAAAATGATATATTTGTTTAGTGAGGTATAGAATTCTGCGCTGGCAATTACTTTCAGCATGTGGAAAATATTATCCCATTGTCTACATTCTTATAATTTTATTGGGAATTTAGATTTTTTACCCCTTCTGTTTCTCTTTTAGAAGATGTCTTTAGTTTTCAGAAATTGTACAGTGATATAATTAAGCTGTTTATTATATTTGGAGCTTGATGATGTCTGTCAGTTTGGGGTCAATCGTAGCCATTCTGTCATCATATATATCATTTCACTAGTTTTTGCTTTTTTTTCTTTTTCTAAAGCTGTAAGTACAGGTATTGTAGACATTTTCTGTTTTGTCACAATGTCTCTTAGCCTCTTTTTGTGTATTTTTTAATCCGTTTGTCTCATTATATTTTATAGTGGATGTTTTCTTCTGACATACCTTCCAGTTAACTAAGCATCTTCCATGTGTCTCATCTTTAAGTAGTATAACAGTCTATCAAAATCCCCAATCTTGCTTTTTAATTTTTTGAAAAATGTTAATTATTTTGAAGTGTGTGCCTCATAATCCTATTAATTGGTACTCTTGGGATTTTTTTTTTCTGTTGTCTACTTTTACCTGTTTGTAGGTCATATCTTGTCTCCTTGACTGATACATTTTTTTATTGTGTGCTATAAATGCTACATGCAAAACTGATACAATGTCTTCTCCAGAGTGTTCCTACTGCACGAGACAGATGCCTCATCTGAGGCTCCAGCTAGCTCTGTCACCAGATAAATCAGTCATGAGAGGCGGGGGCTAGATTTCCCATTCTGCTGCTCCTTTCCTCTCGGATGTGGTCTTTGGGATTCCAGTTCAAATCCTATGGTGCTTTCCAGTCTCCTCTCCTTGGCAGTTTCAGATCCCCAAATGCTGCCTTTCTAGATAGGAGCTCTGTGTGTGTGTGTGTGTGTTGTTGTTGTTGTTGTTTTAATTTTATCTGCTTCTCAAGTGTAACTTCAGGCAATTACCTGTAGGAGATAATGTCTCCAAATACTCATCTCATTTTCTAGGTTTTCTTCTACTCCCAGTTCTTGTTTACAGCCTACACATTCCACATGGGTTAGAGCCCTAATTTCTTCAGACAGATGTTTCTAATATTTTCATCATCTTTTCTAGTTGTTCCCAGTGGAAGGATGAGTCCAAAGCAACACAGTCAAGCAGAGCTCTGCCAGAAGTACAACTTCTTTTTTTGATGTTATATCTTACACCTCCATTTTAAGTATGACTTTTGCAGGCTAAGAAGACTTAGCTGGCCTAGTGTCCCTGCAAGGTCAGGACTCCACTAAAGTTCCAGGTTCCAGGTCAGTTCCTAATTCCTGGCCACCTCTTTTCCGCTCTCTGACCTAATATCAGTCTGAATGACTGGGGGAGCTGGAGAACTCCCTGGTCTTAAGCTCTTGCTTTTGTTTTGCTTTTTTTTTTGGTTCCAGTCGTGGGGCCTGAACTCAGGGCCTGGGCGCTGTCCCTCAGCTCTTCAGCTCAAGGCTAGCGCTCTACCACTTAAGCCACAGCACCACTTCCGGCTTTTTCCTTTTTGCTTATGTGGTGCTGAGGAATCGAACCCAGGGCCTCAGGCATGCAAGGCAAGCGCTCTACCACTGAGCCACCTTCCCAG